TTAGTAAAATGTACATAGTTTAATGCACACGTTACTTGATTAGCATATCAGTGATCTGTATGCAGTTTATTTATAAGTTCTAAATATTTATAATCTTTTTGCTATGTATTTTAAATAGCCTATAAGAAATTTTAAAATATTAATTAGCATTAAGAATAAACATATTATTATTTTATATTTACCCATTTCTATATTAGCCAGTCCCAAATGTGAATTTTTTTAACATTTTTTTGTTAGTCATTTTAGAATGTTGTGTCAAATTCCAGTGTAGAGCACAACTTTTCAGTTATACATGAACATACATATATATTCATTGTCACATTTGTTTTCGCTATGAGCTACCACAAGATCTTGTGTATATTTCCCTGGGCTATACAGTATATAATCTTGTTTATCTATTCTGTATATGCCTGTCAGTATCTACAAATTTTGGAAATCCCAAATGTGAATTTTTACCATTAAAAACCATTAAAAACACTTCACGGCAGTTGCCATGTGACCATTGTTCAAAATCATCATTGACCTTAAATTCTTAGAAGCAAAATTGTCAACTACCATCTACTGGTTGCAGGAACAGCCTCTACAGCGATGCAACACGACATATTTAAACCTTTTTCATTTTCTGAGTACACAGCCAGACCACCTTAGCTGGTCTCCCCTGAAGTTAAGTAGGGCCATGAGACTGACTTCAAGACAATGAATGTGGGCAGAAGCAAGAAATGCTACTTCCTAGGCTGAACCTCCAACTCCAAAATATCCTAGGTGATCCTGCAGCTTTTCTCTCGTGCTCTGTGCTACCTGGTGTCAACTCCAGGATGACCCTGAATACCTTTAGTGCCAATTTTAATCACTTTAATATTCTTCACTGAGTCTTCTTTAGACATTGATTAAATATTGATTAGACCACAATTGATTAGACCACAGTAGAGCATAAATTCTGATATATCTGGGTTGTTTTTTAATTAAGGATTTTTAATTAATTTTAATTAAGAATATGAACTAAAAGAAGGTCCCAGAAATCAACTCCTCCTATCAGTTAATATCAACTCAATAGCATGTTGTATCCAGATAATTAACTAGCTGAAATTATTACCCAATATGCCAATCCCTGTATTTTTTAAAGGTGAAATACTTAAAATCTTACATTTTAAATATTGTTAAAACATTAGCTGATGTTCTGGTGACTTCCCTATGATCCAAAAACAAAAGGGAGATGCTGGGGAAAGGTTCCGTTTGTATTCGAAGAAAATATAATTTGGACAGAGTAGAGTCATTTTCTTCTAACTAAATTCTGGTCAAAATTATACTCATAATAACCTTGGTAAAATATAAAAAGGAAAAACATGATCAGGTTTAAAGTTATATTTTTAACGTTGAATTTTATATGCTCCAAACACTGAAAATGTAAAGAATAAAGCCCATGGAAGCCAGCATATCCCAGAGCTCTTTACCCTTTGCCTGTAGGATCGTCCTCTCCCTGTTTTAAATATTACTGAAAACAGTAATACAACACGTGAGACTCTGATGAATACACAGCACTACATAATGGTTATTGACTGATTCTTCACACTCACATCTCACTTTAACACAAGTCCATGTTGCTTTTTACAGTCTTGGCTATTGCCAAGGGCAAAAATATTTTGTCAAAGCCAGGTTATGCCCAAGTGTATTTCTCCATCTTTCCAACCACCTCCAACTAGGCTTATTTTATCCCAGAGCTTGCTAGTCTGTGCTGGATGGATCTGGGTCTCTAAATAAGCTAAACCTGGTACTCAATACAGTTTCCCAAGGAGTCCGCTACTCCAGTCAACATTAACAACATGGCCCCTATTTAGAGTTTAATGTCAAATATAAGGTCATCTAAATTCTCCTAACTGGTCTGCTGGTCTCACTCTCTACAAATCCATCTTCTACACTGTTTCCAAAGTGATCTCCCTGTAACACTCAAGTCAGATTATGTCATTCCTCTAACATCTATGGAGATTCTCCAGGACTAACAAGGGAAGTTTTCAAAATGTTCTGGCAGGAGTCTGGGCAGGTGCCTGTAGGGCCACGACAGGAGCTGAGACAGAGGGAGCCTTGCAGGCACCTGCTGCTATTTTAACCAGAGAAATTCTGCTGTGTTCATTTATTTTTCATATATTAGAACTTCATGAAAGATTGCTTGAAAAAGGTGTTTTGCTTTTCTTTTTTCCTTTCAATGAGAGGTAGAATTCCCAGCCTTGTGAATAGACACCGTTATCTAATCCTGGCACACAGAGCTCTTCCAGACCTGATCCCTCCCACCCTTACCTCCTGCCTCTCAGCGGTTCCCTGTTCTTCAATCACTCTAGTTCTACAGGACATCAGGTCAGGCTCTGCCCAGCATCCGTACTTTAGTACCTGTAATTCTGGCATCTAAAATGCCTACCTCCTCAGCCTCCTTCACCAGCAATTCCCAAAGCCCTTCATGTCTCAGCTTAATTACACCAGGTCTGAGAAACCTTCCCTGATTTGTAAATGTGCCTTGCTTATAACTCAATTATAGTACAGAACACTGTAACATAACTGGTCTGCACATTTGTTTTACCACCCAATCTGTTAAACTTAGTTAATCAGAATTATCAGCCAAATTAGTAAGTACAGTAGATTATCTGACACTAGGTCTCAATTTTTCTTTTTCCCAACCTTACTCTAAGAACAAACATGTGTTAAATTAATAAAGTAACTTCTCTTAAGAAAATAATAATCAACCAAAAAAATTTTAACAGCTCTTTATTCACACTAACTTGTTTCCTTACATGGAATTTATATATTTATTAGAAAAGTTTAACTGAATTCCTATAGCTTAAATAAACAGCTTAGTGTAAAAATGTTTTTAAATAAAAATATGTCCTTGGTACCACCTTGTGGTACAACATCTTTTTGTGAATTATTAACGGTCTGAAGAGAACAAGTAAAAGAAAGTAATAACTGTTTTGGTTACCCAGCTTTTAGCTTGTTTTTGGATTGCATGTTTAAGTTTCAGTGATGATCAGACAATTTAACCATAATGTAGATTATGATCAACTTGACGTAACAAATTATATAAAATATTTAATCATTACAACTTTAAGATCTTCGAACAACAGTCTTTTGAATTTAACCTTAGACGACGACTTCTTCAAAAAACAAAATGTATGAATACTGTCCTTTTCAGAAACAGAAAACTTTTATTGCTTACTACTGCCCTCTAGTGAATTACCAGAAAATCAACAAGGCTGAAGAGAGTGTATCATTTAAAATGCTTCTAGGTC